TACATATTTCAGATATTATGTATTTTTATGTCTAACATTAAACAAATGTTATTAGTTTTATGTTGTAAATATTTTACTTTCCATTTATAATTTTGTTTGTTTCTACCTTATTTACTTATTTACTGATATATTATTTGAATATTTTCAAGAATACATATTTGTAGAACGAGTGTGGGAAGTATCACTTGAGCGAAGTGGTACAATCTGATACGACGTTCAAACGAAATGGGACTTGAAATAAATCTAGTTTATTTTACTAATTAAATCTTTTATGATTCAATGTGTTTTTATAAAGCAATTTAATTTATGCAAAGGTCGATAGTCAATTTATATTCGATTCACGTTTTTTAAATCAATAAGGAGTGAATATTCTTTTACAAATAAGAAATAGTTGAGATAGGTTTCCCGACGGAGGATTGCAAATTTTAAGATTTCTTATCAAGTAAAAGGATTTTCTTTAAATAATTAATTCGAAGTAAATTAATTAAACTTTAATAAATGGATCATTTTTTTAATTTATATTCGAGTCACGAATTCTACCATTACGACAACATGTAAGCTATTTAAGTACCAATTTTGGACATTGTGGGGGCTGCTAACCCTTCCTCACGCGTAACCGACTCGCGAATCCAATAAATCAAATCTTTGATGACGCATACTGATTTTTGTCTTAAAAAACGATTATTCATTAAAATTAATTTAAAAGATGTTTTTAGATATTTGATCTACCTAACCCAAAGGTCAATGGCGACTCCCTTTCAATTTAATTGAAATCAATTTATAAATCCCCAAGTTTTCAAAATAAAAGTCATAATTGTTTTTTAAAATAATATTTCATTGTTTTTTTTAAATGGATATGACATTTTCAACTTGTTGGGTTTTGTATTTTTTTAAACATCGATGACATCGATGCTTCAACATGCTTCTTTATATCATTATTTTTAAGGTAAATTATAATAATATTAATCATCAATCTATTGTCTTTTTCTTATTTTAGTCGTCATATTGTTTCTTGATAAAATATCACTAACGTTTTCTTTGTCTATCTATAAATAAAATAAACTAATTAAATAATATTTTTTATAAATTTAATATTAAATCATTTTTAAAATGAAATTTCTGATATTTTTTTAAGATATATGTCTTAGTATATTTAAATAAAAATTAACAATTACGTGAATCAATTACTTTAAATGTATTTATTTAGAGGTGACAATCAGGTCATTCGAATCGGGTTCGGAGTCAGATCATTTCGGTTTGGGTTATTTTGGGTTTAGGTTACCTCGGTTTAGATTCGGTTCGGATCGAAACAGATTTGAGTTGAGTTTAGTTCGGGACTATGAAAATTCAGTTCGGGTTGAGTAAAAATTGGATCAGTTGGCTTCGATTCGGGTCAGTCATTAGATTTTCGGGTCAATTCGAATCTGTTTCAATTCGGGTCAACCTTTAGATTTTTTGGGTCAATCTTTGTCGTTCTTTGTCACCATAACGTTTGGTGCTTCTCTTTATTACTTATAATTTAAGAATTTTATATGAGTATATATTGTTACATCTCAAATGCATAGATAGAAGTTTCTAGTTATATTCAATCGAATAAATAAATCTTTAAAATAAAAAATTTTATTGAATATATATTGTCACAATTCAAATTTATAGTTAGAAGTTATTTCATCAAGACATAGTAATGATCTTTTAACTGAGGAAAGATTATATTGAATTATTAAACTATTATTAGAAGTGGTTGTTAACTAGTAGTATAATAAAAAATAGACTAAAACATAAATCATTTACTATTTATCGATTCTAAAATTAGATAACAAAAAAATATAAATAAATAAAATATCCCTTCATTTAGATTCAATTATTTGGTTAAAATAGAGTCGAAGTTTGGTTCAAATCGGGTATGAGTGAACTAGATTCGGGTTGCTTTCACTTCAGGTTATTTTTCGTTCAGGTTACTTTCTATTCCAGTTGTTTTCGGTCTAACTAAAATCCATATTAGTTTCGGTTTGATTTAGGTTATTTCGGGCTTCAGATTAATTTTGGATCATCTTGTTCGGTTCTATATCGGGTCTCAAATTAGATAAATCAATTCAGATAATTCGGTATGAGTCAAATTTGTCAGGTTTATATTTATTTATTTATTTATATTATATAGGCTGTCAAGATACTTTTGACTGTTTATTTTTTAAATATCAAATTGTTTGAAAACTCGATCTTTTGTTGAGTTAGAAAAAAAAACATGTGCTATATTTATATTATTTTTATGACGATTTAGTTTTTTTCTGTTATATGGATATCTTATATATTTGAGATGATTATTATGAGTTATAATATTAACGTTTTTATTAGTCTCATACGATAATACTATGGTAAATAAATGTCAGACAAAATAACATATCAAATTATTCGATTGTACTAAAGAAAAAAAGTTTTAAATTGAAAATATATATTTCAAAATGTGGAATATCAAAATGGGAAAAAAACTTAAATCTCAAAACATATCATAAAGGACCATAAAAATATCTTTTTCAATAACATATTTATATAGAGTCATCTCGAATATCTTTAGCGCCATGAGTAAAAACTTAAAAATAGGTAAAATATAAAGAAATTATATTCTATTATTTTGAACAATTAATTTAACATTGTATTAATAGACCATTAAAATAATTAAAGTATGATCCCTCAGTTATAAAGATAGAAAGTAGGGACAATTTTATAAAATTGAAAAAATTAAGGACCCTTAATTATAAATTTTGATCAAAAACTCAAAAATAGGGTATATAAAACAAATATATATTCTATTATTTTAAAAAATTAATTTAACATTAAATTAATAAACCATAGAAAAATAATTAAATTGTGGACCCTTAGTTATAATAAAAGTAAAAAGTATGGAACTTTTTATAAAATTAATAAAATAGGAAGTCTTAGCTATAAACCTTGACTAAACCCTAAACAAAAATATATTTTGAATAATTAATCTATTATTATATTAATAAAGTATAAAAAAGATTAAATTATAAAAATAAAAAATCAATATTATTTTATAAAATTAAAAAGTCATGGACCCTGAACAATCATTTCATTCAAGTTACACCCTTTAAAGTCGGCTCTGTATTTATATACCATAGTTGTCAACAATTATTCTATATTCAATATTTCAACTTTTCATATTATCTAACACAAATTAACTATAATTAAAGTAATTAATTCACATAATTATTAATTTTATTTGAAAAAATTAATAATTACATTCTAAAAATATTATATTGATTTTTATAGTAAATGATTATTTATTCAACTAGTTTATTTAATTTCTAAAAGAAGCAAAAAATAACTTCAGTTTGATTTTAATTTTAACAATAATTTGAGTTGAATATTAATTTTGTTACACTGTAATAATTATATGACTTAGTTTAGTAGCTAAGCATTAGATCTTTTTGCAATGGTAACTTAAATATAAATTTTGTTAAAAAAGTAATGACACTGAGCCGGTAATTAAAATAAAAAATAATAATATTAATGTATTTTTAAGAAAAAAAGATAGTTTAATGACTAAAATACAAAAAGACAATAAATTAATGGCTAATGGAATAGTTTACCATATTTTTTTAAGTAAATCATATTATACGTGAAAAGTGTTATCACAAATTCAGCACATGCTGCTTTCTATTTTCAAAGTATTTACGTCAAACTCACGAGTTCCATACGCATCTTATTCCACAAATATAGATTTACGTTGCAATAAATTTTTTTTATAAACGTTTAGATAAATATTGCTCACTCACTTTTCTTATACTATATATATATATATATATATATATATATATATTCTTCTTATAATATATTCTGTTTGCATAAAATGGTCCCTTCACTTGTGAATATCCCTCGTTTAATTCTTTTCTTAAAAGTTAAAATCGTTCCTAATTATTTAAAGAATATTTTTCGCATCCATTTCATAATTTTAAATTATTCGTTCTAGCAATATTACGTTCGAAATTTAAATTCGTCTATTAAAATTCTTTTTTATCTTATCATTAGACCTAATTTTCATTGATTCTTAAAAAATTAATATTTTCACATATAATTAATTAGATGTATCTAAAAATCAAAATTAAATAAAGGTCCGGGTCAAAAGTTGGAAAAAAAATCACATTTGGCATCAATTTGAGCCTTTATTTTGGCGTTGTAGATGGTACCGACCTCTTCGTAAATGCACAGATAAACATAGGTATAAAATTCAAAAAAAATATTGAAAGTTTTTATAAAATTCTAGTTTTGAAAATTCAAATAAATATATAAAATTATTAAATTTGTATAAAAATATATAAAGAAATCCCATTTATAACAGAAGTGAAATAAAATGGAGTCGCTGGAATCGTCATATAAATATCTTTGCTTTATTGAAACCCTAATATCTAATATCGCATTCAGTTGTATCATCACTCAATCCACAGTCGTTTGATGGCGGAATTGAAACCGTCAAATAAAAAGCATTCTCACGAACCATAAGTGGAGGAGCGAAAGACTGATATTAAGTAATCGGTTTTTAGATAATCCTTATCTCGTAGTCAAAACAATATCTTGCATGTCGTGTGTGCAAGCTCTCCACTCACCATCCACGTGTCCATCTCGCTATCCACGGTTTGCCACTCCTACGCCATTTCGTCCGTTACAACAACAGACTAATCAATCTTCTCCTTTTTATCATCTTTATCTGATCCCCTTCAAATCAAACGTCTAGGAATCAACTTTATACACAGAAACAACAAAACCCTAGTGCTTTCTGCATCAGATAAACATTTTTTCCCTATATATTTAATCTTCTCATCTCAGTTCTGGTTGGTATAAGTTTACCATGTTGGCGTTGGCTTCTCAATAACGTCCCCAAAGTTTGTCACATACTATATATCTTCCAACAACCCTTTGCGAAGGACCCCTTGACTCTTCTTTACGTTTTATTTTATTAACTCTTCTTTGTTGGTGTGGGAGAAATGAGTAGTGGAGAGAAAAGTTCGAGGAACTTCCATTTACATCATCAAGGGAAGAAGCAAACGAGGGATGTGCCGAAAGGGTGTTTGGCGATCAGGGTGGGGTCACAAGGGGAGGAGCAGCAGAGATTCGTGGTGCCTGTTATGTACTTTAATCATCCCTTGTTCCTTCACCTGTTGAAAGAAGCCGAGGATGAGTACGGCTTCGATCAGAAGGGGACCATCACCATCCCTTGTCATGTTGAACAATTTAGGAATGTACAGTGCTTGATTGATAGAGAAAAGTCCTTTCATAATCACGTCGGATGTTTTAGGGTTTGATTTTTTTGGGGGGTGTGTGTTTGTAAATGTGTGAGGAGTGATGGGTTTGCTTTGGCCGAGGATGATGATGATAGGCAATGTGGACCAATGTTGGTTGCAATTGTAGTGACTTTGGCTATTTTGTTAAGAATCTTAATGGAAAAGCAAGAAAGTAAATTCCTTTTTCTTCTGTTAAGTGTTTATTCTCCTTTTTTATTATTTATTTAATAGATGATTGGCTTTGGGCATCATTTGAAATAGACAAGGGCACTCCTCTGGGTAGGGTCATTGCTAGTGCTTTAAGTTTGAAATATTTGGCCAATCATGGAATTAAGATTTTGATTGATCTAAGATGATAGGCCTCTTTCTTTTTTGGTTTAATGAGAGTATGGACCATTGTTTTAGATATGAGAATTCTTCAAGAGCGACTGTATCCCCTGCATTCTATGCTACACGACTAAAACTGAACCGAGATTTCTGAATGACAATTTCTGACTCAACCCTCAATATGTGTAATGTAACTGTCTTATTTGGACCAAATATTAATGAGGATATCGAAAGAGTCAACAAAGTCGGATAATTTTGATTATGTCATGTTATTTTTGTTGGTATGTTCATATGAAATCATAACTTGATATCAAGTTTGTTTCTAAGGTAGATATGTGTGAGGGTGTCATCTTTTTTTTTAATTAAAAAAACAAAGTATACAATGTCATCACTTTTATATTTTAGAATTTTGGGTAAAGTATATAAATGGTCACCGACAATAGGATACTACGTTATTGAGTACATTGACTATTAAAAGTTACAAAATAATTCTCCAACTATAGGGAGTTTTTTTGTTAGGTCCATTGACTATTAAAAGTTACAAAATGATCACTCAGCTATTCATTATGTTCAAACTCGTAATTTAAAAAATTAACGGCCGTCTGAGTTGGACATGAACATGTTGAGTGAGACATGGTAGTTATTTGAGATTAATGTACAACTCAAATTGTCGTCAAAATTTTAATGAAAATGACGATTTTGGAACATAATGAATAGTCGGCTGACCATTTTGTAACTTTTAATAGTTGAGAGACTCAACAAAACAACTCCTTATAGTCAAAGTAATGAAATCTTGCAACTCTGGCGCGATAGCCGAAAACTGTCGAACGCCAGCAGTCAATGAAGAATGAAATAGATATCTATTGTTTGCTGAAAAGAACAACTAAAAGGAAAATAGAGTTTATTATTAAATTGAATAAAAATGGATTTCAAAGGCTTCATTTAATCGACTACATTGCTTGGCTTATATAACCCACTAATAATCTGCTAACCAATTAATTGAAGTGCTATCAAAATAACAAATACTAAATAATTTTATTAACATTCTAATATTCTAACATTCAACCAACTTATTCAACTTTATTGTTGCAAAGATGAGCATTTGAGCTGGTTCTTATAAAGAAATATGATTTCTCTTCATTCATTATTCTGTCATCAAAAAATGAAAGTACAAAGCTTTCATTCTACTTTAGAATCGAAAAGTGTGATGATTCCTTCCGTTCTACTTTAGATTATAATCGAAAGTGTGATATTTCCTTCCGTTCTACTTTAGACGAGAATCGAAAGTTCGATGCTTCCTTCCGTTATACTTTAGACGATAACCAAAAGTGTTATGCCTCATTTCGTTCTACTTTAGACGAGAATCGAAAGTGCGGCGCTTTCTTCAATTCTATTTTATTCACCTTTGGTTTCTTTCTTGTTGTTCATGCCCATGGAGCAGTAGCAAACCATGAAGAATGAACAATCTAGTATAACCAACAATGCAATATCATGCAACACATCGACAATTGTAGACACACATTTTCGTCTCATCTTGTGTATATAGTATATTATATTATATTATTATATAATATAGTATATTTATATTATATAGTATAAACATACTATACGATTATGCATTTATTATATGGTATAACATACATATATATATTATATTATATAGTACGTAGTGGTATATTTATACTATATAGTATATATACATATTTACTACATAATATATTTTTTATTATATAGTACATTATTATATATTACTATTACTATTTTATTAAATTAATATTTATATTTCTTTTGTTTTTTTTTTCGTTAGGTACAATACAACCCGAAAACAGACCCAACTAGGCCCATGTGTGCAGACCCAACAAGGCTAGGGTTTCTGCCTTTTGCTCCCAGCCGCCAGCATCTCTACCGTTGGATCAAGATGAGATCCAATGGCCTATGATAGAGATCAACTTTAGGGTTTCTAAACCTAACAAACCCCAATTCGTGCAGTTGCCTAGCAGGGATGGATTTGGCCCCACAACCCCTGATTTTTTGATCGATTTTGAAGAGGTTATCCCCTAGTGGGAAACTAATTTCGCCAATAACCAAAAGCCTAAAGGACTCTAATCTAACTAGGACTCTAAACCAAATGGAAAAAATGGATTATTAAGTCTATAAATCCCTGCAAATTGAAAGGAAAAAACAAGTTAGATTAAAGGAAGAAAAGTACTTGTAATCTCGAAAAGAAAAACGTCAATAAAAAAGGTTTTTTTACTTTCTAGATTCGGATTGCATGGTTGTATGGTACGAATGTTTGGTTTTCATTTTCTTTTTCTTTTTATTCAAAAAAACTCTCACAAATGAGAGAAGCCAATGATCGAGAGGGGTTTTTTTTCGAAAGATCTTTCTTAGATCTGGCCCTCCTCGAGGCTTTTTTTGTGGAAAATGGTGCGGAGATTTGAGAAAAGGGGGACGAGATCTTTCGAATGGTGTAAAAAACGTTGGATTTCACCGTCGATGAACGGTGGCCGGCAAGACGGAGCACGGCCGAAATCTGGGTTTCCCATGAATTCCGATTGAATGTTCTTCATGTCACGAAGAATATTTCAGAGAATTTTAAAGAAAAGGTTTTTGATTTGATTTGATGGAGAGAAGGAAAATTAAATATGTTTTAAAGTTTTAGACTTTATAGTCGACCCAAAAACCCATTCGGATCCCTTGAGGATCCGCGTGTTTTCTCACGGGTAGGGTCTAATTACGTCGTTGGTCCTTATATTTTGATTGAAAATCCGTTTATGCTTTTATTTAATTTTAACTATGGTTTTCTTTTTAAATTTACCTTACGCTTTATTTTATTTTTTCAATTTGGTCATTGTTTTTATATTTCATGTTTTCATTTAATTATATTTAAAAGACTATTACGCTTTACGTAATTTTAAATTGACAGTAATCGTTTTATTCTTTTTTTATTTTTTTATTTAATTAATTCTTAAATTGTCATTGTTTTTACTTGATCTTGCAATTTGCATTTTCTCTTTCATTTTAATTGATATCTTCTTCACATCATTTTCTTTATTACTTCGTGTTTTCTTAATCTGTGTGGTTTGTTCCATTCTGTGGCATGAGTTTTTCTATTTATTTTTGATATTCCATCCTGTTAACTTTATTTCCATTTATTTCTCAGCATGTATATATGCATATTTTTTGTTTCTTTGTCTCGTTCAAAACATTTAAACTTTTGTTAATTCTTCCTTTTGAATCACTCAATATTTTATTTTTACAATCTAACCTCTTTTTTGACCTTTTTTAGATGTACTTTAAATCGATCAAAGGTAAGTAATTTGGATCGAATCTTAACTTTTAATTTTCACAATTAAGACAATCGAGCAATTAAATTAGTACCGAAAGGGCAGTACAAGGGTGCTCATATTTCCTTGACTGTAATCGACTCCTGAACCCGACATATTTTTGGTAAAGCGCAGTTCATGTAAGAGTATAAACCGAGATGTCCGATCAACCTAAGTTTTTTTTTAAAAAAATAAATGATCGGTAGCAGCTCCATCATGTTTTATTTAAGTCGAAGCCCGATTCCAGGCCCACCCGAAAGACGGTTACGACAGGTTGGCGACTCCACTGGGGATAGGTAAGTGAGTCAGGCTAAAATTAATTTCTGGTTGTCTTTTTAATCAAAAATTATAAGTTTAAATTTTAATTTATTTATTCGATTCTTATTACTTATCTTTGATTATTTTTCAAAAATAGTTTTACTGATGATTTTTCAATGATTTCAGCTTCTTAAAATTTTCATCTCAGGCTCTATACCCGAGCTGCAAACCCTTTTATAAGTAGAGGTGAAAGCGACACCTTCGTGGGAATTTATTCTCCGTATAGACCTAGCAAGTAACCTTTGGGATTCATATACCTTATGTCTTCGTGTGAATTTATTCTCCGTATAGACATAAGGGAATGTGTCATGTCGAGTTTAACTTGGTCCACATAAGCTTGTAATGGGCTTAGGATTGAGGGTCCGACAAGCCCAAGAGGGCACCGGCAAGGAGAACTCGAGTACCTTTTTTTTAGAACTTAAACCGGGAGACTATAAAGAATTAGTGCCCACCCCGAAACTCCATTTCACAACTTAGGTTGCTTGAGTGATTTACTACTTTATTTATTATTCAAAGCATGCAATATATGTGGTTGGGACTTGTTCAAAATTAAGCATGTGTATCATGTGGGTTAGGATCATTTTTTACTTTTATTTATTATTCCTATCTTACTAACTGATTTCTCTTTCATTTTTGTTCTCTTTTTTATCATTTGCATCATTAAAAGAGGTAAATTGTCCACAAAAAAGTTTTCTTTACACACAAATAATTTGTATTAATGGACAAAGGGCTTGTAATTCAAGAGGTGAAAAACGCAGAGGTCTGATTATGGTCTAAAAAGACTCAGAGAGAAAAGTGAGACAGTCTGCAAGGAAACTGTGTCAGATCTAGTTGGTTATGCTTCTGTCAGCCTTAAGAAAAATGATGTTCAAGAACTGCGGAGTATTTGGGACAGCTGGAAAAGTGATCAGAAATGAAGATTCTACCAGCGGTATGGTGATATTGCACTTCTAATCTACGTCAAGATAGATGAGCCCCTAATTTGAGCCTTAGTACAATTCTAGAATCCGAGGTACAACTGTTTCACATTTAACCAAGAAGACATGGTACCCACATTAGAATAATATAGCACTTTATTGCATTGTGAAGAAATCAGAATGGATCGGGTTTACACCAAGTACATCAAAAGTCAGTCTTTCAAGAATGGATTAGCGAAAGTTGCGGGGATAGATGAGAAGTGAGTAACTGACCGGATTAAGAACAAAGGTAATGGGGAAGGAATTACTTGGACCCATATCAAGCAACTAATAAAGAATCATCCCGATAAATGGAAGACGATAGACATTTTCGCGTTGGGCCTTTATGGTTTGGTTATCTTCCCAAAGACTCTGGATACATTGAGGCAGCTACGGTGGAGCTATTCAAACAACTCCCGAAGTGAGTAAAGCCGGCGCCAGTGATATTAGCTGAAACTTTTCGCTCACTCAACCACTACAGAAAATCTGGTGGAGGAAGATTTATAGGGTGTACACAACTTCTTCAGGTTTGGATCCATAATCACTTACGAAAG